GTTAGGGATATTTTCCCGCTTCCATGCGAGCAATAATGGCGTTTTCTTGAACACTTTTCACTTAGTGCGTCAAACAATTTTATGTGTTGAATGTGAAACAGTAGGTATTTTCTTATTTTTGTTTTTAAAATTGACTGTAATGATATTCATTTACATTCTGTTTTCTTTTGAGATTAATTTATTTATTATTGTATTCTTTGAATGCCTACCCTTTCAAGGTGGGGGGGGGGGGGGCATGTTCGAAGTCCTAGAATGTTTAAAAACATGTGTTTATTATTTCTCAAATGTACCACTTGAACTGTCTCGAGCAAAAAGGTTTTATGAGCTTTGGAACGAGCAGTGGTTTATCTGTAATATAATCTTAGATATTGTAAAGGCAACACCAAACAATAATCATATTTTTTAATACTTTTTTATTATCTTGAACTCGCCAACTAAATATAAGAAAACTGGGTCAAATCCCTAACAGTAATTGTAGTTAAGCTTTTATTATTTGCTATAATTAACAGCTTAATAACTAACAAAATTATTAACCTAAACTAAATAAAGGGGCCATTGCTCCTCAATTAGGCGCAATTTTCTGCGAACTTTACTCATTTACAGTGTGTTGCAGAAAAGTAGGCCAATCCGTTAACCATAGATTCCTTAGATCAGTGTAAGAAACCATGAAGAAACCTCTATTATAATTTTTTTCGATTGAGGTCATCATGTTCAATATACATGGTGACAAAGTTAATTTTTAAAAATACGTTATTATTATATTTTCTTCGTTTCATTAAGTAGGTGTATTAAAATTGGTATACCAGGGTTTTTGTGATGACAAATCATAATTTGAGCCTAAATATTACCTACCTCAGAGGGTGCTAGTTGCAAGCAGTTTATTACCTTTAACCCCCCTAACTTTTTTGTATCCGCCAATGATCGTTACGTAATATCAGTTTGTATTTAGACGTTTTTGTGTTCTACGTTTTTTGGCTTTTTCTTTTTTTGCGAAAAACGCTTAGTTTTATAAATATTAAGTCTGTCTTTGACGGATCGGCCATATTAAGTCTACATAAACCACGCCCAGTGATATCGTTTTGAATGTATGAAATAGATGCTTATAGCGTCTCCCTACCTTCTACCTCCATGTGTAAAATGTAGGTACTTCATTTAAAAATATCACCCATATTTTTGTTACTTGAATGTGGAGAACTAAAAATTTATTGAAATAAGAATTTCATGTTATTCACAACGGATTATAACTTTGTGATACATACTCTGCGTAATCCATGAAAAACATTATGAACTACTATAAAAAAAATTCTTGGACCTGTTAAATATGAAAAGATTTCAATAAAACTAAACGCAATTGATACCGTAACGAGATAATTGTTCTTTTATACTAGTACGCAGTATGTAAACTATTTTATTTTTCATCCAACACGCGTAATATTACAATATTTATTTTGAAAGTAACCACACTAATCCTATCTATACGTGACAGGTAACTTTTTTTTTTAATTAACATTGCCCCAAAAAAATATTAATAAAACTATATGCAAAAGTTAATATTTGTTTTCAAATAATTATTTTAACACTTTCAAAACTAAATTAAGATTAATAATTAGAAACCTCAAACAATATTAAAGTTTCAAAATATTTTACATTGCCATCTTGGAAGTGATTGAAGCTATAAAGAGATAAAAACCTAATTATATCCATTCCTTCTTAATTGAATATTGTGCGTACACTCTTTCAACCCCATTGTATATTTTTATTATAGAAAACTGCAATAAAAGTATGTTACAAAAATGAATGTCTAGAGGGCATCATCTTTCATTTATTGAACCGTACTTAGGAAATGGACGTCAGTGCAACATCAGGATGTACAACAAAATATTTTAAGCAAATTTCAGGAGTGTCGCAAGGTTCGGTTGAGGGGTCCCTACTTTTTTCTGATATTTATTTGAAAATTTTGGCTGAAGTAGGAGATAAAGTCCGTTCGCTTTCTTTATTGTTTAAATGTTAATAGGTTGAAACAAAAAGTTACTAGATTTTGACAAGTCTTAGATTAATTACATAAGGTTATATTATGTCAGGTGACAGTTATCAAAATAATTTTGAATTTGTCAATTAGGCATTCCAACGACCTGTCCAAAGGGCTACCAGTGGGTAATGACAGTTTATATATGGCAACCCTGTTGTCATGTTGTCATTAACAGGGTCAATGATACATATATAGTTATATAGATTGCTTAAAGCTGGTCGTTTACGAGCGGCCATATTGCCTGGCAAATATTTATTAATTTGAATCGGTTTAGAAAAAATGTGTTTTAAAACTAATTTTTAGCCTTTAGACATTAAAAAAAAATAATTGCTTACATTTTTACTTCAAGGCATAAGCTTATGTTTATTTTGAAAAATATGGATGATCAATCTTTGTCAAATCACCAGGCCTACAGGGTTGCCATCATTTTGCTATATCATAACCCGTCAAAACCCACTGGTAGCCATTCAGTTTGGAATGCCTAATTTGTTAAAAATTTGGGTATTTTGATATTTCAAAAGTTTTCATAAGTATTCAAAGAACATTAATTATCCAATCAATGGTATGAAATATCAGATTTGGGAAGTTGTACGTCAAAATCTACCACGAAAAGAATTCCACCTATGTAGATAGATATGTTAAGGAAAATGGGCATAAAATATTAAGAACTCCTCCATATCACTGCTAGTATAATGCAGGTAAACTAGAGCGGTTCGGTCTAGAGGAGGCAGCTTCGATCCGAAACTGTTCCAAAGACCCTCTCATATTGATAGCTTCTTTGAAATGAAATGATAGTGTATATATAGAGGGCGAAGTAAATGGTAAAAAGTATACACTGTTGGTGGATACTGGAGTAACTAGGAGCATTATACGACCAACAATTATAAATAACCGTAAGAGACTTCTACCAACAAGATTGCGACTGCGGACTGCCACAGGTGAAAGTACCAACATACATAGGGAACTCCAGGTTCAATTGGGAATTGGTACAGAAAAGTTCACTATACTGTTATTGTTGCTAATTCCGAAGATGTTATTCTTGGAATGGATGTAATGAACTTACATGGTTTCCAGTTAGACTTTAAGAAAAGAGTGATCAAAGTTGGTGCTGAAGAGGTATTCCTATATCCAAATGGGGACAGGACCGTTCCAGTTGCTGTACACGAAGATACGGTGGTATAAGTGAAACTATTATAGTAGCACGGCTTCAGGAAACTATGGAAAAAGGAACACATGTAATGATGGAACCTTGGAATCACGATGAAGAGGTTGGACGAGGAATTCTGATCGGAAAGGGGTTGGTCACGACTGCTAAAGAGATTCCAGTTCGTCTTATAAACATTAATAATTACTCAATTACCATCAAGAAAGAGACCAGAATCGAAACTTGTGTACCAGTAACTTCCATAATTCGTCAGACAACAACTGATAATTCCAACGACGAATTCGAGCAAATGATTGCAGTTGCTGGTCAATCTCTGAATCAATTAGAGAACAAGAAAATAAATAAATTTCTTCGACAATAACGTGACATTTTTGTACCAAAAGGAGGAAAAACAGGAAGAACTTCTGTTGTAAAACGCAAAATTGACACTGGTGACGCCAGGCCGATTCGTCAATCAGCTCGAAGATTACCAAAGACAGGGTGATAGATTTCTTCCACCAGCTCAGGGGTCTCTCAGGTAGTCCTGGTCCAGAAAAAGGATGGAACTACGAGGTTCTGTATAGATTACCGTCAGTTAAACAATGTTACCAAGAAATACAGTTATCCTCTGCCTCGAATCGACGATACCTTGGATACATTGGCCGGAAGTAAACTATTTTCTATTTTAGACTGGATATTGGCAGGTGGAAATGGGCCCATTAGACAAAGACCGGATCTAGATTGTGAAAAAACGTATTGAAAATGTTATCCTGGAAAACATGCCTGGTGTATTTAGGCGACATCATAGTCTTGGGGAAGACCTTTGATGAGCATCTAAAGAACTTAGAAAATGTTTTTAAAAGACTTCAAGCTGCCCAACTAATGCTAAATCCCAAGAAGTGCCAACTATTTCAAAATAAAATTAAATACCTGGGTCATATAATCAGCAAGGATGGCGTGGCTGTAGATAAGGAAAAAATCGCTTCTATCAAAGAGTGGCCACAACCAACTGATAAACATCAAGTAAGAAGTTTTCTTGGACTGTATACGTACTACCGATGATTCATAAGGAAGTTCGCAGATATCTCTAAGCCATTGACATGACTCACAGAAGCAGCGAGATAATTCTGCTAGGACGATGACTGCCAAACTACCTTTGAAACATTGACAACGGCACCAATACTAAGCTACCCACTATTAGAGGGAGAATTTATTCTGGAAACTAATGCCAGTAATGTGGGAATTGGAGGAGTACTTTCTTGGGAAGATAGGATTGAAATAGTCGTTCCTTTGCCGCCTTAGCAGGTCTAGATATTTTAGGTCGCAGTATATTTAACACCACCATAACAACATATAAGTTTAAAAAACCGAGATGTAGAAATAATTAAATTTAAACACAAAAAACTTCAACTAAAATTTTGTATAGCGCAGCCTCGGAACAATTTTTTTAGCATATTCGATGTTCCTGCAGATACTGACAAAACTGCAAAAAGTATAATTTTTTAGTAGGGGCAAAAAACGAATACGGATTTGCTCTTTGTTTTACGAAAACTTTGCATAAATGGTTGTAACTTTGAAAATGTCGTATAAGTAAGTCAAATAGGCGTTTCTTCAAATAGGATGTACCCTAATATTATATTTTTTAAAACTAATGTAATGATAATGACGGGCTTAAATCAATTATTGAGAATGTTGCAAATGCGTCAGTGTTCTACCGGAATACCGAATATGTAACATATAATGTATCCCACACGCACTACTACCATAACTATTAATTATATATTATTTAAAACATACTAATGTATTTTTTTTTTAATTATTTTGCAGAAGATGTACTGACTGATGACAAAGGAGAATGTGTCATATGTTTAGAAGATTTAAGTCAAGGTGACATAATTGCTCGCCTTCCTTGCCTTTGTATATATCATAAGACGTAAGTATTGAAATTATTATTTTATTTTGTATGCACAATTACATTTCCTGTTGAAACCAGAAATATCGTAGAAGGTTTATTCTATTTTATTGACGTAGTCATAAACTTGTCTCTTATCTATATACGCAAGTAAAATTATTTTATTACTTGAAGTTTTTATTTTTTTAGCCATTCTGTAATGGAATGCTAACTAGAAAAATAAGTTATTTTTATTACTTATCTTATTAATCAAATCTATGTATTTTTGCATCCACTGAACAGTTAAATTAAAAAATTCATCACCCCTTTTGCGTTATTAAATATACTAACATTCTTTATACACAAAGCATATTTAATAATGTACCTACATGTAAATTCTTAAAGATAAAAACTTCAATTCAAAGAAAAAGTAGTTGGTTCATATCGTGATTTTTTAAACACACTGTGAAACTGAGGGCCAAACCACTGACTAAAATTTTGTACACCTACGTCTTTTTGGTAAGAATAAATCCTTTTAAATCCTCATAAATTCTTATAAATCCTTAAACATCCTCAGAAATTTCAATAAATTCTCCATACATCCTCGTGTATCCTTCATACTGTCGTGAAATCGCCTTAAGGCGATTCTGTTCTTTGTTTACTACCGTACCCGCGATATAAGTATAATGCTGGCCATATCGAGACTCGAGAAATCGACTCGAATGTTTTATATCTCAGTCTGACGCGTGGAGGATAATTTCCAGAACTTCTAGACTGAGCTTCTAGTCAGAGTTGGTTCTTTCTAGACTGTTTTATTTCTGTATAAATAGCACGACTTTGTCTGTTGACATTAAGATTCAATATATGCGCCGTATAAATTTAAAGTATTAAATAAATTAATTATATATACTTCCTCCGAAATTCTCATTATGTATATCCACGCACTTCCCGTATCGCGTTCTAATGTGTTAGAAGTGTATTACAGTGTGTAAAAATGCATTTAGATATTTGATTATAAATAAAAATATTTGAATTTAAGGAATACTATTTTTCAAAACCTATTTTTACAACATATTTCCCTCGGTATATCATAAAGTAATTTTTTACACCCACATGAACGAACGAATATATTTCATATTGGGACGATAGTCTAATTTATTTATAGTTTATTTATTTAAAACACACTATTTACAATTTATTTCAGTCGTACTATTTAATTTATATAATACTTAGACACTAACTAACAATTCTAATTTATTTATTACACTTTTAACTTTTCATTACAATGCTCTAAACTATCTATATACAACTGACTTACGTCTTCACACTCGCGATATTTATATCAAGCCAACTCTGTAACCAGAATATTCGAGACGGTGTGGAATGTCCTATACTTCCATCTCTATGACTCAACGTCACGTACCTACCGCTTATTCTGGTATATTCGAGAGGCGTCTGATTGTCTCTACATTGCCAGCGCGCCGCTAGACTCCATATCGCAGGAGTAAACAACGGACAAGGTAGGCTTTCGCGCGACAATATGCATTCTACCTAATAAGAACACTGCACAAATATGAAATCCACCACAGTTCATGTATTTTTTTTAAATTTTAAATAAGTATCAATTCTGTCAAACTAAGTTGCAGTATATTCTTTAGTTATTGAGAATAAATATACATTAAAGTAATTCTTGTGAAGAATCGATAAAAAATAGCATTTCTATTTTTATTTTCATTTCGTCTATATTTACAAATAAATAATAAATTTTAATAAAAGTATGAATTAATTACGAGTATTAAAACTTAAAGGTTAGGTGTCTCGATGGAGCTGTCATGCAAGAGGTCCCCGGTTCAAATCTAGGATTGGAGACTAATTAAATTAAATCTTTTTTTGTTTTTCTTTTAAGCTTATTTTATTTTATAAATTAGTAAAAGTATTTAATTATTTTTAAATTATTTATTTTATCTTAACCTAAAATAATTATTAAAATTGGAGGATTGGAGACTAATTAAATTAAATCTTTTTTTGTTTTTCTTTCAAGCTTGTTTTATTTTATAAATTGGTAAAAGTATTTAATTATTTTTAAATTATTTATTTTGTCTTAACCTAAAGTAATTTTTAAAATTTGTAAATTTTCGTTAGTGGATCGTAGAAAAAATTACTATACAACTCGAGTGGATTGTCCGTATCGCACTCAAAGAAGAATGATTATGTATCGTCTAAGCATCCATGACGAGTGTAGAAATTATGCATGATTCAACCTTCCACTCTTACTCACATAAATGAATAAGGAGAGGTTGCCCTAAAGGACAGTAAACAAATTCTAGGCTTGGCTTTGTTCAGCTATTTTGTTCATGTTCAGCTTTGTTTTTTGTTTGTGTTGTGGCTATTGTAAGCTGTTTTGTTGTCGATTCTTTATTGGCTTGCTTATATTTGTGATTTTTTGTACTTTGATTTCGATTTAGTATTAAATTTTACCTGATAATTATTTTCCGATGCACTATTTTATAATTGTTGCACAAAATGTTCTTAAACCGTCCCTGAATCTTGTTTACAAAATGTGCAAAACGAAATTGTGCATAGTGTCGTCTGTACTTTTTCATTGACAGTTATCATTCTACCCCTCTCCACTTCATTGGCTGAAACTTTGTCTTCGTGCGATATGGCCATCATGTCAACGCTCTAGGCCTTTTCATCATGTGATGGACGCAAGCCACCATGTTGAAATAGCGGTAATTCAAATGTTTCGTACTGTTTTGATCGACAATGGCTGGGAAAGCAATACAGACAAATTAATCATTAGAAAAAATCGTTGATAGTGATTAACCTTTTTATAACTTTGTGGAAGCACCTTAGATTATACAAACCTTAGATGGAACATAAGACACTGCGCATAATCCCATTTTGAAATTATTCACACCCACCAATCACATTTGATAACATCACAAGTCAGAGCGTTGCCCATCCAAATTTAATGTGTCAACGAGACATAATTTGGTATTTTAGTGATTTAAATTTTGGAAATTAACGTTGAAAACGCCAAGATGTGTTGTAAAAAGCTTTATTTATAATAAAAGTGCGAAATGTGACGGAGATAAAAGAAACTCATATTTATTTCGGTGAGATATTTAATTTTTAAAGATTCTGTCGACGTCCATATTTGTTGATTTGAAAATAAACAGAATCGGACTTGGTCATTGGTACATGTTATAAGTAGCAAATATTTTTATAAACTGTTTACTATTTCTTGTTTCATGGGGAATCTGTTTTCAGGAAGTGAAAAGAGAAACATACAATCAAATACAAAAATATCAATTTCATTGCCAATTTATTCGTTTCAAAGTTCACAACTGGTTTCAATAGTTTTTTCAAAACTATTTATTTAGTATTTCTCTATAACAGTGTTACTCAAAGTGTGCTCCGCGGAGCCCTGGGGCTCTGCAAAGCCTTTGTGAGGACTCCGAGAAGAACATAATCATAATAAAAAGTACTATCGCCACAAAATGGAGGGCTTGAGGACCTTTTTTTTGTCACTAAGTCCTGATTTTGCTTTAGGACTTTTTTTTATTTTATTTTTTATAGGTGAAATGGATTTGGGATCATTCTTGCAAGGAATCTTTGAAATTAATCAAAAATAAAGTAACAACAAATTATGTTCTTGTGCATTTTCAGCCTGAGTTGCCGATTAAATTATCGTAGATGCATCAAATGTGGGAATAAAGGCCATGATATGTCATGTTTTTGAAAAAAATATTGAGAAATCTATAGCTATTGCTTCGCGTATCTTATCAAAGTCCGAACAAAAATATTCCCAAATTGAAAGAGAGAGCCTTGCAATAATTTTTGCCTTAAATAAATTTAATGAATATTTATATGGATATTTCCTTGTTTTGAGAAACACTGCTCTATAATAATATGAGATCTATCCATTTAATTTACATTTTGTTATTTTCTCTAATTTTGACATATAAAGTAATATATTTTGTAATCGCAGCAAGTGCCAAAATAATCTACTTTATGCAATCAGTTGCATAAAGTAGAACAGTATGCAACTGATTACGAAAAGTTGATTATGTCACCAGTTACGAAATGAAAATAAATAAAACTGCCTCTTTTTTGGTTTTTAAGTCGAAAAATCTAAAAATCAAAAAATAATAAATCGAAAAATCCAAAAAACGAAAAATCGAAAAAACCAAATATCGAAAAAAGGCAATGAATAGTAACATTTCACATTTGAAAATATGACATTACGTTTAACAACAAAACAGTAAAGCTGTAAATTGCGTTTTGTTTTTTAAATAATTGAACAGCGTTATTGAAAACTGCCCAGAAATGTTGGGGGTACAATTTTGACGTACTCCTTTAAGGATAATGGGTAAAAATGTTTTTTTTTTCAAATTTCTCGCGGGTAATGTCAAAAATCAGATCGGCAACACTGCACATGTCCCTTATTTTTATTATTACTATTGAAAAAAAAAACGTCGTAGGGCAATCAAATTTTCTGAAATATTTGATTGGAAGTACCTACAAAGAATGATAATGAATCATTTTTCAACACAATTTTATAAATAATCAAGACAAAATTAGAAAAAATCTTGCATGTAAACACGTTATGAAATGCCGTTTTGTATAACTCGTTCATTTTGCGGGACCTCTCGTCCCGCAAATATTTACTCGTTACACAAAATAAGGCATTTCGTAACTGGTTACATAAATAGCTATTAATTGACTTGCTAATATTTTAAATCATTGAACGGTATTTTCTGTAAATAATTAAATCATAAATAATTACCGGTATATAAGTACCAAAACATTTTTTTTTTTCTTCGAAGAGTAGGCTTATGTCAAATAAACTTAAAATATTATAACGAACGAAAAGGTAACCCATTTCTAATAAAATTTAATTATTTATTTTATTTTGGTGTGATCGTAGAAAAAATCTTGTGTGTAATTCGAGCAAAAAGTACTTTGGCTGTTTCGATAACTTTTTGTCTCAACAGCTATTTTGTTACAATAATTTTATAAACTTTTACTTAGGGTCG